TTTTCCTTTTGACAACTTCCAATTTGCTTAGATTTATACTTCATACATTTCATATTCTTATTAATAATGGATGCTTGCAGCTGTTTCTCCTCATTTTGAGGGGTGTTTTGTTTTGTTTTCCCATAAATAAATGAACATCAGAAAAGCTTTACTCACTTTTCACATCACGGTCAATTCTATTTTGAGGTGGCAGCTCTTCCTCAGCAATATTTTGAGTGCCTCCCACCCTGAAGGGATTATCTTCTGGAACTATATCTGACAATATTCTAGTGTTGTCCATAATGTGTTTCAATATTCAAAATTCTGGTGCTGTCAGTGTCCCACTGTTATTCATAAAAATTTTCAGTGACTAAACATTCAGAAGTAGTCCACCTCCCCTTTTTCCTAGTCTTTCTTACTCTTGAAGCTCAGCTGAAATTTTCTCACCATGGTTGTACCCTGATAGTATTTAAAATACTAGTGGCATCACTTCCAGCATCACAACAACATACAAGTCACCCCAACAAACTGACAGACAAGTTAATTCATATATCTATTTAATAAGAAGTATATTTGCTGCTTGGGAACATTTGCATACCTCTAAGGAGCTCTGGTAGCATAGTGGTTATGAATCGGGCTGCGAACCTTACGGTCAGTGGTTCGAAACTACCAGCCGCTCCACGGGAGAAAGATGAGGCTTTCTACTCCCGTAAAGATTTACACCCTCGGAAACCCTGTACAGGGTCGCTATAGGTCGGAACCGACTCGACGGCACACAACAACAACAAAGGACTAGTTAAGGTATATACATCTAACCATAAAAAAAGATTTAATAAAACAAATATGTTATTTTTCATCATATGTGCAATAACACATGTTTGGTGTCATCTTGTATCCACATTGTACAGATATAAAAGTTGTTTGTTTGTTTTTTTCTTTTCTTATAAAACTAGGTTTTACATTAAAGTTGCAACTCAGCTATGAACTAGCACATTACAATATCTAAGTTTTAAATATTACACACATGATATAGTAAAATTATATTTCCATTTCTACTTATAACAATAATGATGTAGAAAAGACTGATATTTAAAATAGAAGTACTCTTGGAAATATAATTAAAAATAAGGAACATGTCTTTTTAAATATTGACTTCTAGCTTAGAATTAAAGCATATATACAGTTTTAAGCTGCAAATATGATCTAGGATAAACTGTCTAATAAAATAAACACTGGCCACAGGGGTTTTTTGAAAAATGAAATTAACTAAATTGAAATTAAATTGAAGAACTAGTTATATTTTTTGTATGTCCTGGTGTGGCCCTATTGGATAAGGACTGGATTTTTAACTACAAGGCTATCTGCTCAAACCTACCAGCTGCTCTGTTGAACACCTACACATTCAAGCATTAGTATGAGTCTGGACATATTCAAAGGTACTTAATAGCACCCTCCATAAGTTATAGAATTATGGCTAACATAAGACACTGGAGAAAAATTGTATTTCTATAAGGGCAGACAGCTCTATTTGAGTATATTGATCTACTTACTAACCTGATACAAGCCAAAACCCATCATCTATACTTCCCCCAAATGATGACGGTGCTGGCTCACACTTTGGAGGTGCAAATCCAACATCACAGTGACAATTAAAGTTTTGATTACAAACCTAAAATAAAACCAAGGTAGAAAGCAAAAACATGTAATATACATAAATATAAGTGTATTACTTTTCATTATTAGTCAATGCACATTATTAATATGAATGTAAATTAATGTTTTAAGTAATTTTCATTATTATTTTTAAATGATATTAAAAATACAAAGTGATAAAAAAATAAACTTCACAGTAATATCTTCACAAATACAGGGAGTCTTCAAGAAAAGTTCATTAAGTTATGAAAACACTGTGTATGGATTTAAAATAAATTTGGACCAAAATAAATACTAACATATCTGAAACAAGATCTAGTTTCAGGCACTAAGATGGACAAAACCATTTAAAGAGTCCCTATCAGAGCAACCTGAATTACTAAAATTGATGCAAGAAAAACATCAAACTTATAATGTTGCCTGGGTAGAATAACTGTGCAATCATTGATACTTTAAGATAAATTTATGGGGATAATGTATCAAAGAAATCAGCAGTTTACAAATGGATAACTAGTTTTAAGAAGACACAGCAAATGAACTAGATAGTGCCCAGATACCACTATCAACTGCTCTGAAAGGGATCACACTAGAAAGTCCTGGACAGAGTGGGAGAAAAATGTGAAACAAAACTCAAAATCATAAAATTCATTCAAACTAGTTGGATAAAGACTGTTGGAACACCCCATATTATGACAAAACTTCAGGTCTTAAATGAACTCAACCTTATGTCTCAATTTCCAGCCAAACAATAGATCTTTAAGTCGAATAGTAACACTAGTAAGGTAAGTGCTTAGAATAATCAATAACTTGAGATAATAATAGCAGCATTTATCCAAGTACAAACTTCAGAGGGATTAAGAATGTAGGAGGAATTGAAATAGTTAACACAGGGAAGAGGTGGTATAAGTGTATTACATTGTGTTTATTATATGTGTTGCATATAGTCAATGATATGAAGCAAAATGTGAATGGATTGTTGAATGAAAAACTGATCTGCCATATGAACTTCCACTCAATTCACAATAAAAACTTTGTTTGTTTTTTTAAAAAAATATTACAGCCAAGTAAACAATGGTGCAACTCTACTCAGTCACATAGGGTGGCTATGAGTTAGAATTGACTGATGTGTTAGAATTGGCACCCAACAAGAAAAGCATTATCTGTGGCAATTAGTATTTTTGAGCCTATATAAATATTTTTTGAGTATAAAGTAATAAAGAAGAAGAAGGGGAAAAAATAAAGCAGGGAGGATGGAAATGAGATGATGTTAAAGGGAAGCCCTCAGTGGTAGCCTATCAGAATCAAATTTCATGAAAATAATCTTGTTCATGCCCTAACTGAAGACAACCAAAGATGAACAAGAGAAACTATAGTCAACACTATAGACATCTTAATTGCTTCAATTTACACAACTCTGACTAAAAAAATTTACTTAAGCAAATTATCTACTGAATGAGTACTAAAACTGTGTACACAGATCGCTGCAAACAAGATAAGAACTATCAATGGAAATTTTAAACATATGCTATAAAGTCAGATACTATGAAACTAGAAATGATTAAATGGTGAAATTTGGAAACATTATTAAATAAATAAATTAAAAACTAGATGTCTGGGGCCAGATGACTTAACTGATAAATTCTGCCAAACATTCAGAGAAAAGATGGTGCAAATTCTACTTAAACTATTCCTGAACTTAAAAAGGATGGAAAACTCCTGAATACATTTTATGAAATAAGCATAGCTCTCATACCAAAACCAGACATAGACATCACTAAAATGGAAAATTATAAATCAATACTCCTCATGAACATAGATGTAAACATTTTCAACAAAAACCTAGCTAATGGAATTCAACAACATATATATTTAAAGAATCCATTGTGACCTAGTGGGACTCCTACGATTAATCGGGAGATGTTTCAGTATTAGAGCAACTATTAACAAAATACATCAAATAATAAAACAACATAAAAGAACCCCATGATTTTATCAATTGGTGCAGAAAAGTTATTTGACAAAATCCAAAATAGAGTTATGACAAAAAAAATTTTTTTTTTAAAAAAAGCACTCAAAATACAGAAAAAGGAGAGAAATTCATCAACATAATCAAGGACATGTATATAAAACCAACAGCCAACATTACTCTCTTTGGAGAAAAACTGAAACTGTCACATCTCCAATTTGGGAATTTACTACCTGTTTCTTAAATGAACAGAGAACACCTTATTAACAAAGTATGATAATTATCTTTGAGAATCAGTTAAGTGACTCTATTAAACCTTAAAGGAAAGGGTATGTCTCTGTTTCATCCATCTTGGAGGTTGCTCAAAGCAGATGATCGACATAAATAGCTTCCGGTAATGTTGTTATTGTTGCTGTTATTAAGTGCCTTTGATTTGGTTCTCATTCATGGAAAACCTATATAGAGTTTTCATGGTTTTAAACCTTTAGGGGAGCAAAGAGTATCATTTTTCTCCCATGAAACAGCTGATGGCCTGGAACCACAAACCTCTTGGTTTGCAGTCCCTTGCTTGTACTACAGAGCCATAGCAAACAATATAATAATATTCTGGTTCTCTTCATCATGTTTCAACATTCCATATTCTTGTGTTATCTGAAAGTGCTATTTATAAGGTTTTCAGTGACTAAATATTCAAAATTATTCTGTCTCTTATTATTATTCTTAGTCTGGAAGCTCAGCTGAATCTTGCCCACCATGGGTGACACTGCTGGTAATTAAAATACCAGTGGCATAGCATCTAGAATTACAGCTACATGAAAGCCATCACAGTATAATAAATTGACAGACAAGTGATTACAAGACAATGTAGGATCCCATAAATATCCGTGACAAAAAAGTACAATTGAGCCATATGCTAAAATTCCAAGGGAAGATTTGCCTTGTAAAATTATGGCATGTAAAAGCACATAAGCATACATATTCAATTTACAGAGCTACACACATACCCAAACACTCATCTGTCAGTTTGCTATACTGTGGTTTCTTGCAGGTAGCTGTGATGTTGGAAGCTATAACACTGGTATTTAAAAAGTCATCAGTGTCACTAATGGTGGACAGATTTCAGCTGAGATTCTAGAATAAGAAAGAATAGGAAGAAGGAGAGGGTGACTACCTCTTAATGTTTAGCTAATGAAAACCTAATGAATAGTAATGGAATATTGTCAGATAGCACCAGAATATAAAAAATTAAAATATTATTAATAACATCAGAACATTGTCAGGTATAGTAATGGAAGATGAGCCTGTCATTTGGAATGCACTCAAAATATGACAGCAGAAGAGCTGCCTGCTCAAAGTGGAGTTAATAACGATGATGTGAATGGAGTAATACTTTGGGGACTTTCATTTGCTGATGGGACATAACTCAAAATGAGTAGTGACAGCTACTATCCATTACAAATCAGAACATAGAATATACAATGTATGAATCAAGGAAATTTTAAAGTAGTCCAAAAAGAAATGCAATACATAAAGATCAATATCCTAGGCATTTGTGGACTGAAATGGACTGGTTAGGGCCATTTTGAATCAGACAATCACATGGTTTAATATACAGGAAATGACTAATTGAAGAGGAATGTCATCCTATCCCTCATCAAAAAGAACATAACAAGATCTATCTTGATGTACAATGCTATCTGTGATAGAATAATATCCATGAGCCTACCAGGAAGACCAGTTAATACCACTATTATTAAAATTTATGCACCAATCACTAGAGCCAATGATGATGCAATTGAAGAATTCTACCAAACTTCTTCTGTCTGAAATTGATCAGACAAGAAATGAAGATGTATTGATAATTATTAGTTATTGTAATAAAAAGGTTGGAAACAAAAAGGAAGGATCAGTAGTTGGAAAATATGGCTTTTGTGACAGAAATGATGATGGAGAGCCAATGATAGAATTTTTCAAGACCAATGATTTCTTCAGTGCAAATACCTTTTTTTAAACAACATAAAAGACTACTACACACATGGACCACACCACAAGGAATAGGCAGAAATCAAATTGACAATATTTGTGAAAAAGTTCCATATCATCAGCCAAAACAAGTCCAGGGGCAACTGTGGAACAGACCATCAGTTGCTCATATGCAAGTTTAGATTGAAGCTGAAGAAACTTAAAGCAAATCCACAAGAGCCAAAACATAACATTTAACATAATCCCACCTAAGTTTAGATAGGGATCATCTGAAGAACAGATTTAGATACTAATAACTGCAAACAAAAAGAGATGTCAGATGACATAAAGAACATAATACAGGAAAAAGCAAAAGGTGATTAAGAAGACAAGAAAGACGTAAAATACAAAATGGCATGCCAGAAGAGACTCTGAGACTTGCTCTCAAGCATAGACATGCTAAAACAAATGAAAGAAAGGGCAGCATGAGAAGAGAAACTCAAATATTATAATGAAAAGTTCAAAAATTACATGAATAAAAACATGGCATCAGGATAAGAGGAAGGCTTATCTGCAATATGCAGATGATGCAACTTTGTTTACTGAAAACAAAGAGAATTTAAAATCCTTGCTGATGAAAATCCAAGATCACAGCTTTGTTATGGGTTGTACCTCAATGTAAAGAAGACGAAAATCCTTGCCAATGGACTAAGAAATAATATCAAGATAAATGGAGAAAAGATGGCAGTTGTCAAAGACTTCATTTTGCCTGGTCTACCATCAGCGCTTATACAAGCAGCAGTCAAATAATCAAATAATATATTACGTTATGCAAATTTGCTGCAAAAGAAATCTTTAAAATTTTCAAGAGTAAAGATGTCAATTTGAGGACTAAGGTGTGTCTAATCCAATCATGGAATTTTCAATAACCTCATATTCTTGTGAAAGTTTGACAATGAGAAAGGAAAACCATAAGTGAATTGATGCATTTGTTTTATGGTACTGGAAGAAAATATTAAAAGTATCATGGGCTGTCAAAACAGCAAACACATATGTGTTGGAAGAAGTACAGCTAGAATGCTCCTTGG